TGTCTCCCTGGGAGCTCGCTCAGCTGGGACCTGAAGCTGAGTGGAGCAGATGAGACATCTTTTGTTGCATTTCTTTATGTGCAAACTAATAAAGCAAAGGGCAGAACACGGTGAGATGACAGTGCTTGGCTATTCCACCACTTGCTTTCATAACTCTGCTGTTTCTAGGGTTATGCCAATCCCTTACTTGACACTTTCAGACGCCCCTCCATCCTCTCTCATGTCCTCAAAGCTGTCTCATGGTAAACTCTTGCCCTTTATTGAACAGATGCAGGTGGGAAGAATATGATAGATCACTGAAAGAATCTAGCTGCTGATATGATTCCAAACTGGCTTGCGTGTGTGTGTGTGTGTGTGTGTGTGTGTGTGTGTGTGTGTGTGTGCTTTTCCTGCACCTAAGGAAATATTTGTTTTACCCTCTCTATCCATTTTGTGGACTTGTTTTCAGCAGCTGAAGCATACAAGGGAACAGCACAGATTGCAGAGAGCGGACTGAGCAATGGTAAACTCTAAGATAAATCTGAATACTGGCAATGGCGTGTGGCACCACCGTGCAGTGACATGGGAAAATGGGCTGCTGCTTCCCACTGACGTGGAGTGAAGGGTTCTGGAAAGGATTGTCAGGCTCCAGGTCTGAGTGTTTGTCAGGGTTGGTAAAGCATTGCACTGGGCTCAACACATCTCCTGTTGGAGTTGGCATTTAATAATAATAAGAACCATGGGAGAAGTTTGCCAATGTGGATCTTTTTGCAAAATAGCTTTACAGGGGTAGGGCCCTTTTGCAAAGATTCTCTGGGAGGGAGGGAGGGAGGGAGGGAGGGAAGCAGCAGATGAGTCAGACCTGTGTCCATGGGGCTACCCCTGGGACATAACTTGACTCATCCACAAATACTGACATTCCTTCTGTAGAAGTGGACTGCAAATACTTTCCCGGTGGGAAAGTCACAACCTCACTGACTTAACAACTGCTTTAGCAGGATGTAGCCACAAAAGCAGATCATCCATAAAAATGCCTCTTTAAAGAATAATCTGTAAATGCCCACTGATGGGGAACTGCTTGAAAAAGCTATAGTCCATGCATATATTGAAAAATAGGGCTGCTGGGCGGTGGTGGCGCATGCCTTTAATCCCAGCACTTGGGAGGCAGAGGCAGGCGGATCTCTGAGTTCAAGAGTTCGAGGCTAGCCTGGTCTACAGAGTGAGTTCCAGGACAGCCAGGGCTACACACAGAGAA